CAATTAATATAAAAAATCGTTTCAAATTAAAAAGATTTTGCATTATCCCAACTGCTTTACGAGTGGCGCACGTATTTCAGAAGAACTTTGTTATAAGTGAGCTGGATTTCTAAATCGTTATTTGCTGGGGGCAGCGTCTAGACTGGCGTCACGATGTCTCTCCATCACTTAAAAAAAAAAAAAAGTACGTAGGATTGTTTAGCTTTAATAAATAATAAATAAATAACATCATCCTTTTGATTTTGGAGGCTCGTGAGACGTGGAAAAATTAGGCTAATATCCTATACAAGAAATCCAAATATAGATTTTTTTAAAATTATAACATTGATAATTATTTGATCCTAGAAGTTTTTATTTTATTATAATTTAATTTTAAAATTTTAAATCATTATAACTCAATTTTTATAATTTTAACTCAGTTATAATTTAATCCTGAGTCATAAGTCTTGCAGTTGAATCCTTATAATTTTAACCATTTAAAATATTGATTTTTATATTTAAAATATAAAACTATAAATACTAAAATTATGTTAAAATTTAGTTCAAATATTTTAAATTACAAAAACTTTTAATCTTGATAAAGATTATAAAATTTAAAATTTTAAAATAGTTTTAATTTTTACAATTTTTTTAAATGCAAGGACCAATTTTAAATAGTTAAAACATATTGAGCTGTAAGAGTCAAAGTTTAAAAAATAAGTTTATTTAAGCCTAAAATAAGGTGATGTTTAATTAAAGCTCCAAATAAAGATAGATGAAGCATCGAGCCTAGACAGGTGAAGAGTTAGGCTTGATAAGTTATCAAATGAACCAAACTCCAATTTGTTTAAGTAAAATTTTTTTAATTAAGTAAGTGTTGAATCGTTGAAAAGATATGAATTATAAGATTCAGAATAACTAAATTAAAAAAATTATTATATAGGTGCATGATTGTCACTTGAACATGTCTCAAATTTTGTGAGTCCGTGTCAAGTGGGAGAGAATATTTTGATAGGAGCATCTAAGCTTTTTATTTTGTGGACATAACAGCATCAGATGAGCATTATAGATAGGGTTTTGTTGAAGAAGAAAAAATAGAAGACAAAACATAAAAGCATTGTCACTTTATTTCCCCTTTACATTGCTCTGCACTCAAAATTTTAGCTCTTCCTCTTCTCCACTTTCTTATACTTATGCCATTCTATGTAAAGTTGCTAAGTTAGTTAATTATCTTTGATATTATACTTTTTTTTATGTCTACCTCTATTTAATATAATATCATAATTAAAAAATCTTATCAATTACAATTCTAATTAAAAATACTTAAAAAAAATTTCATTGATCATGCTTTGAAATACATAGAATATATTATATTTTTTAACATATTATCTAAAAAAATGTCTTATATTTTTTAATAGAAAAAGTATTAAATGATTGTTAATTATTGTTGTCTAGTTGTTAAAATTTTTTTTATTAATTATTATTTATTTATTAATAATCAAAAATTTCAACATTGACAATTTTAATGAATGACATGTTATTTAAATTTATTATGTGAAATTTAGAGTAATTTTTTCCATAAAATAATACACATACACAGATGTGCGTGTTTTTCTAATAAATTTACATCCCAATCAAAGGCTACATTTTTTGAAATTATTAACAAAGTTAGAACATTGATTATAAAAGATTGAATCATTATCTTCGAACACATATTTAGGAAAAATAAACAGATGTGCGGACATACTTACTCGCATAGCCTCTTAAAATAATCTTAATCTTATTATTTACAATCATTCATCCTTAAGATGCAAATCTCTTATAAAATTTAATATGACCTGATTTTATTTAACATTTATACAGATTTTTCATGTTCTTGTATTTTTTTTTAAAAAAAAAGACTCCATCTTTTTCGAAGGAAGTGTTATGTCGCAACGTAAACATCTACTTATCGCAATTAGCTCGGATGCTATGTTTTAAGGCTTGGACCAAAATAGCGCGAATACGGAGGATCCCACCACCTTCATCATTAAACAAAAGGCTACCAATTGAACACGTGTCACAAAACACAACTTATCACATTATTGGCTCCCTGACATTTCATTACTCCATTTCACATGTTCTTATATATAAAGTATTCTTAAAAATTTATTTTATTTTTAAATATAAAAATTGTCAACAATATTATTAAATAATTAAATAATTTTATCCCTATATTAAAAGCGAAAGAGATATTAATTATGATATTATTAAAAATAAAATTAAAAAATTATTTTGATTTTAGCTGATTTCAATCCTATAACAAATTTTTATTGAAATCGCGAGATTCAATTTAAAAATATTTTATATAGATAAAAATGAAGGTAGTATTATTTATTAATTTAACATGATCAACACACACATAAAAAATTTATAATGATTCATACTATTTATGACTTACAAATGAAAAAAAAAACTTATTTCAAATTTGCATAGAGCCTTATAAACTATTTAATCTAGTGTTTAAAATTTTAAAAATTATATTATTTATAAATTATGAACTGTGTGACTCATTTTAAAAGAAAAAGCGATAACGTTGTTTCGGGAAAAAGAAATGAAAGGGAAAGGGTTAGAGAAATGAAGATGTTAGCTGGGGAAACGAAAGTTGTAGGTGGGGTCTCAATTTGGGCCACAAGTTGTTTGTAGGGACTAATTCATCTGCATTGCCTTGCTTCATTTCTTCTGTGGACCAACTTTCTCAATTAGTTTCAGCCACGTGATTCACCCCAATTCTTTTGCTCCACACATACATATATATATTATTATAACGTCCTCTTTCCCTTCACATATTTCCATCACCATGATCTTGACTCTTGGACTCTTGAAAAGGTTCACCCCCCAACATATGGGCTTACATGCTGGACCATTTTGGGCCTTCGAAGCCCAGTGTACAAAGGAAGGAATTTCTAACAACTACTAGATGGGCCTCCAACTTTGAATACTTAGAATTATAGAATTAGTCAATCCCATGGACTTTGATTGGAATCTATGGTGATCAGCGAGTCATTTTGGAAGATTTTATATTATTCATACGTGTTTTGATTTAAATAGTACATACCACAATAAAAATTTAAGTATATTAAATTTATCTCAGTTATGAATTCATGACCTGTTTGTTTTAGCCTATTTTATGAAAAAAAATCACTTTTGTTTTGAAAAAAAATTATTTTGTGAGTTTTTATGAAATTTATTTAAGGAAAAATTGATCTTTTAATCCTCCAACTTTTAATTAACTTGTGACTCAGTCCCTCAACTATGACTCGTTGTGACTCAATCCCTCAACTATGACTCGCCTATGACTTAGTTCCTCAACTTTTGAATCACTTACAAATTAGTCCCTGAACTTTTGTTAATTTTTTTTTATATTAACTTATATCTCACATCAATGAGCAAGATGAAAGTATTTTAGAATAATATATGAGCATTTTTTATTCCTCTTATTTGATAAGAATTTTTTTAAGAAAGTAAAAAATAAGGATCGAATTATTGGTGAATCAAAAGTTGAGGGATTAAATCACAGCGAATTATAATTGAGGGACTGAGTTGTAACGAGTTATAATTGAGGGACTGAGTTACATGTGAGTTAAAAGTTAAAAGATTAAAAAATTATTTTTTTATTTAATTTCTTGAAAATAATCAAAATAAAAAAAGCATATTTTTTATTATTTTAAGAAGTAACTTTGAGTAGTTTTTGAAAAGAATTTAATACAGTACATGAGAGGGAGTATTTAAAAAAAAATGGAATACATGAAGATATCATAAAATTTTAAAACAATATAATAATAAATTATTTTTACAAAACAAAAATCAAGAAAGATGTTATAAAGTTTAAAAATAAATAACTAATAATTACTTTTCTATTATTGTAACCAAATATAAAATGATATACGTTTTTTTATAAAATATTTACAAAATAAATATCATTTTATAAAATATCTAAATTATTTAAAAATTACTTATTTTTTAATTTTAAACAGATGAGCCTTTGATATTTCAAATTTAATTTTTTATCATTTTTAATATTAAAAAATAAATTATTATTGATAGAATCAAATATAGAAATCAGAGAACATTTACTCTATTTAGCATCGAATGAAGTGTCTGAACCATATTGAATTAGAAGCAACAGGAAACACTATTTTTTTTTTTGAAACCAGACAGTCCAACCATCAGATTCATGAATTTCAAACTGGGACTTCGTAGATCGCGGGGGAGATCAATGGTTTCCATAGGATACTCCGTGCTGAAGGCAAAGAGCAGGAAACATATCGTTTTATAAATTTTAAATAGGAGTAAATGTTTAGAAATATAATTACAAATGTATTGATAAAATTATCCATTTTCCAAGTTTAAAATTATAATTATATAAGTTAGGAGTAAATAAGTATCAATGTATATTTATATTTATCTTTTTTATAGTTCATGTATAATGTTTTATTAAAAAAATTCTTCAACATTTACATGGAATTTGAAAAATATATCTTGCCATTTATAAAAGGTGTATGGGATGAGATAAATTCATGAAATTTCTTTAACAAAACATGTATTTCTCTTATTTTATTTATAATTCACATTATAAAAAATTCATTTAAATTTATTTATAAATCATGACATAATTTTTTAAATAATATTTAAAATATATTTGTAAAATTATTTTTTATGAGAGAAAAAAATAATATGATATTATTTTTTAATTTATTATATAATAATATATTTAAAATTTTATATATTTTTATTTTTTTATTGATATTGATAAAATTAATAAAAATAATTTTTTAAAGATAGAAGAGTAATTTATAAGATTTAGATTTGAAAGAATTAAAAAAAAATTTGATTTTTGACGTGGTTTTTAAATTAATTTTGATTTGATTTGACTCTGAGTTAGATTAAAAATAAGTTTGGCAGAATCATAATTTACTGAATTACTATAAACATGATTTTTAAGGTTATTAATTTTCATTAAACATAAGTTTTATTAACTTCTAAAAATCACGACAAAGACTCCTGAAGCGGGCATAGTTGGCGGTGATCGATTTCCTCGTACCTACGGGCTACCGCTTCCTCCATCGGTTCTTCTTTCAGGCTCTGAACGCAGAGTTGAAAGCTGTCTTCTTTGCTTGAGGTAATTATCTCCCTTGACTCAGTCTCCATTTTCTGTGGCTTCTCGATTCGATCTTGGCTTCGGACTATCGGTAATTCTTGGGTTAACTGTCGGTTTCTGGCTTCTGGCTCTTTTCTGTTTGCAGATTTTAGTGAGTTGTTTCTAAGGGATTAGTATTTTGCGACGATCATCAATCCTGAATTTCCTGTTCGGGAGTACCCTAGCTGAATTCAACTTTACGTCTCTTGTTCACGAACCCTAGAAATCCAATGCATCCCAAATTTTGCCGGAAATGCCAAATCCTAGTTCAATCGCCAGAACTAGGGATTCCTTGCCAATCCGTAACTGTTTCCCCCATCACCAATCATACACTGTTCCACCTTAAACGCACTTTCTTCCCCAAATCGCTCTCTTCCCAACTCCTATCGTCGTTCTATTTCACTCTTAATGGCAGGCCTCTCGCCGACCATACCTCTATTTCGGCTTCCCAAATTCCTCCCCTTTCCACCCTGATTTTGCGATCCAGGTCTCGTGGCGGTGGTGGCGATGGCGGTGCTACGGGTGCGGAGTCCCGTGATTGTTACCTCAATATGTACGCTGTTAAGAAGCCCGATAAAGTGGACCCGAATGAACAAAGGTTATCAAAGTGGTTGAACTGTGCTTTATCGAATGAGCCGTTGAGGGAACCTTGTGTGGTGGATAAACTTGGAAATATATTCAATAAGGAAACTCTGGTGGAGGCGTTGCTGAAGAAGAATCTGCCCAAGGAGTTCAGGCACATTAAGGGTTTGAAGGATATGATAAAAGTTCAGCTATCTCTAATTCGTGGGATGGAGGATGCGAATAGTGGGACTCGTTTTCAGTGTCCTATTTCAGGGCTTGAGTTTAATGGGAAGTATAAGTTCTTTGCGTTGAAGAGCTGTGGTCATGTTTTGAGTGTTAAGGCTTTGAAGGAAGTTAAATCCTCATCTTGTCTGATTTGTCACGAGGATTTTTCAGAAACAGATAAGATACCGATCAATGGGAGTGAGGAAGAGGTAGCAATGTTGAGGGAGAGAATGGAGGAGGAGAAGGCTAAATTGAACGAGAAGAAAGCAAAGAAGATCAAGAATGGATCGAGGGTCAATGGGGAGAAGGATAGTATGAGTTTGGAACAATCAAGGTTAAGTGGTACCAAACATGGGAATGCTGCATTAAATGGTGTGGCTGATGGTGCAACCAAGCGTTTCAAGGCTGCTGATATGGCCCCTGCTAATGCTAACAAAGAAGTTTATGCATCGATATTCACTTCTTCAAAGAAGTCAGACTTTAAAGAGACATTTACTTGTAGATCCCTCCCACTTGGTAGAAACTGATTGTTGTATCCAACATAAAAGTATGTGCTACCGACCAAGTCGCCTGTGGTTTTAGAAGTTACTTGCACTGTAAGTTCTTGACAACATACTATGGAATTGGATTGCCTGGGTTTTGAAATGATACAGACATGTGAACTTGATTGCACAACAAGAGAATCAACTTTGAACTAGTCATTTTGTTGCTTTGGCTTCTCATTATTATTTATTGGTTGCCGACGTATTGACTTCCTTATAGTGTGTAATCTATTATGCCTTCTTGAACATAGTATCGAATCCATACTCATCTTATATTCCTTGGGTTTGATTTCTTTACCATCCTGTTGGTGAAAGGTGAATGAGAAATTTAACTCCTGTTTGTACTTGGAATGTCATGCCTATTTTGTGGATATCTGGGAAAACCATTCTCAGTCGAAGGCAAAGGCAACCAATCTCATGGATTAGCTGTTTTAATAATTAATGTTAGATTGCTTCCGGAGTGATTGTGTGTTCTCTTTCTGCTTATTGGCATTTCAGCCTTATGGAGGTTACATCTTTTTCAGTATTTTGTCTTTGCTTAGGAGACTGGAAATATGCAGATTCATATGACTTGTTTCATGGCCATTTTACAATTTCAATTCCAGAGCACCATTTTCTTACAAAAAAATGCAGGATCTTTCTTATTAAATTAGTTGATTTTTCATTTTCTTTATTTTCCCTTTCATGGTAAATCCTTGATCCAAATACAAAATGGAACTGGGGAGCTTATGGTTTTCAAATGATACAACAGATTGGAGATTGGAGATGTTCTTGGTTCTGTACTTGGGAATTGTGATTGGACTTGGCGAAGCTACAAAATAAAATGAGCCATGTTGCTTTGTACAAAACGATTGATTTTTTTAGTTGTGGGCCAACTTTTTCCAATTAGTTGGTGGCTTCACTCTCTGGTACTGCCTGCTTGAAATTTGTACCTTTTGTGCACCAAAACAAAACAAAAAAAACAAAACAAAACAAAGAAACTTGTAACACTTGGATCCACTAGCTGATTAGGGATTGATTCAACTTAATTGGAAGTCTCAAATTTAAATTCAAGATATATAATAACAATTAAATTCTGTGGAAAGTATGCCTTTTAAAAATGTGTTTGTAAGTTGTCAATAGAATTAGATTAATTAAAAAACTTGGCATATTGGAGCTAGAAAAAAGAAAAAAGGAATATCCCCCCTCTTTTTTTAATTCTTGCTAGAACATGATATTTGTAGTTTTGTGCCATGTATCGTATCAAATAATTTTCACAAATTCCTAGGATTATTCATTAACAAAATAATATAAAAATAGCTTTGCCTTGAAATTTTGGAGTTTGTTTCCAACCAAAAACCGAAAGTACCAAATAGTGGCATTTTGCATGGTTAGAGCTTGTTACGTTTTATCAAGGTACGTAAAACCGGATCGGTCATTGAACCGGTCATGACATTGGGTCACGGGTTAGTGGTTCAATTAGGGTTGAACCGGGGTTGAACCGGTGGCAAACCGGTCATGATTAAAATAATACAATTTAAATAAAAAAATATTAATTATAAGAACATTCAACCAAATACAATACTTCAAATATCTATCCTTACAATGACAACCTTTCTATCATATGATTAACATGTCCATGGTAACTAATATTGACCAACACCAAAGTCATCATTAACTTCATTCAAATCTCCAGGCATTGAGACATTAGGATTGGAATGAGAAAAACCAGAACCACTAGCAACATCAGGCAAAGATGGGGGCTCTAGAACATTCATATATTCATCACCTACAATACAACAAATAGAAATTAATACTAATGAATGGCATTTCAAAAAATTCATATACTTGTATTAAACATTATAGTAAATTTAATAAACCTTCATAATCCCTCTCAAGGATTAATGGAGTAGCTATGGTTTCATTGTGAATGACACTTTCAAGATTTGCAACTTCTTGAAAATCAAACTCAGGAGCTGGCTCTTCCTCTTCTTCAGCTACCTAAAAGTCAATTTTGTCAATTGATTCATAATCAATGGGATCATAACTTTTATTTTTCCTCAATTGACTCCTTGAAAAAAAATAAAATAATCAAATATGATAAACAATAATAAAATTCATATTCAATTATAAATTATAAAAACATTGCCATTTAAAACTCTAATTTTTACCTATGCTTCAATCGCAGATTATAATTTGTAAAAACTAAATCATTCAATCTTTGATGTTGTAATCTATTTCGTCTTTTGATATGGATGCGTTCAAACAAACTCCAATTTCTTTCACAGCCAGAAGAAGAAGAAGTTTGACTAAGAATACGCATTGCAAGAGTTTGCAATTCTGGAACAGAACCTCCATAGAATGACCACCATTTATCTGCAAATAAAAGACACTTAGTTAGATGTTAATCATATAATAACTAGAATTACCATGAACATGTTAAATAATAAATATGAATACTCACAAGGATCTAATTTCTGAGCTGCTCTTTCACATGAAGTTTTGTCAAAAGATTCTTTACGATCACGATACAAGCTCAATTGCTTCATCATTACAATATAATCAATTTCTTCACTTTCATTTGACTCAAACACATCAAGCATTGCATCCATTAACCTTCTCTTGTGAACAAAATTCTCATTATACAAGAATGCAGGATTCAACAAATATGCCGCTACATGAAGATTTGTCTTAAAGTGCTTATCCCATCGAGCTTGAATAATGCTTATGTAAGGCTTGTAATAATCTTTCTTATTGTTGAATGTTGCCTTAATTGCTTTTTTTGCCCTTTGCATGCCTTCATAAACATAAGGCAAAGAAGGCTTCTCATCTGAATCCACAATTCTCAACAACTTTATAAGAGGAGATACAACCTTCACAATTTCTAAGCAATCACCTCAAAAGCCATTATCTAATATGATGGCAGTAACAATTATTCCAGCTTGAGTCTTTGACAATTTGTGATCCACAAAGTGCTTATCAGTCACCAAAGCTTGCAAGTCATGCTTATGCATATATATGCTATGCAACGTAATAAATGTAGTAGCAAATCTTGTTGCACTAGGACGTACAATTTCTTTCCAACTCGATCTTTTCCTTAGCCATGACAAGAAGATCATATGATTATAAACAAAAACAGTTATCTTTGATGCCTTAGTTCAAGTGCTGACATATTGTCCAAGCTTGCTATATCTTTTAAAGTAAGGTTCAAACAATGAGCAGCACAAGGTGACCAATAAATATTTTTATATTTTTCCTTAATCAACTTACCACATACTACATAATTTGCAGCATTATCAGTCACCACATGAACAATGTTCTTAGGACCAACCCACTCAATCACTTCACAGAACAACGAGAATAAAGTCCTAGCATCTTTTACCAAATCTGATGCATCAACAGATTTCACAAAAACCATTCCATGTGTAGAATAGACTAAGAAATTAATCAAAGTTCGCTGCCTCACATCTGTCCAACCATCAGCCATGAGTGTACATCTAGTGTTTTTCCATTTAGCCCGATAACTCTTAATAAGTAATTGACATTCTTTTCTTCAATCTGTCAACAAATTGACTCTAAATTCATAAGCATTAGGGGCTTTGAACCCTGGCCCAATAGAAGCAATAGCATCTATGGCTTTTTGAAATGAAGGGCAATCTAATGCATTAAATGGAATGCAATTGATGATAGCCCATTCAGCAATAGCCATTTTTGCATTGTACTGTGCTTCTTTTGTTGCAAACACACTTTTGATGCCAGGCTGGGAACCAGGAGTTATCCTAGGGGCAAAATAATTCTCAACTGAAACAGTAGAAGCTTGCCTCTTATTGGCACCTCTCTCAGGGACTATCTTAATTGGAGTAGGAGCAATTGGATCATTAGTTTCAAGGTCCCCTATGTCTACTTGTTCTTGTTCTTGTTCTTTTCTATCATCAACCTTCCTTTTTCTCCCACCTTTCAGAGACTCTACCATTCTGTGACATACATCATGAGGAACTTTTTTACAAGAAGCTACTTGACCACTTACACCAGCAAGATGTTGCTTCATTCTGTTAATCCCACCTCCTCCATAGCTTGATGCACAATAAAGGCAAGTATATATATTTTTCTTGCCTTCTTTTCTTAAGGCAACATGTGCCTAAGCAGGATCAATTTTTCCACACATAAATGGGGCCTCATATGTTGAATCATTACCACTAGGAGGGGGATCATTGGAATTGGAGGTAGGATTCTCATTTCTATCACTACTACTAAGATTACTTCCAATATCCATGATCAATGCAATAATTATATTTTAACCTGCAAGCTAAAATAATGACTAAGCTTCAATTTCATTTTTCCACACAAATGCTGATTAGTCATATTCAGTGTTGACTGCATAGTTTTCAAGTTTGGCCACAAAGAAAGAAGGAAAAATAAGAAGCTTGATATGCCCTGTCTATAACATAGTGCAATCCGTAGTTCAAAATTAAGATAGAAAATCACAACATTTTTAAAATGCACACACAGTATGAACCTGAGCAGAGGATAAGACATGTGCCTTGAGATTGCAATTTATATAATAGCAATTCACGTGCAAAGATCTCATTTTCCCAACCAACATATATAACCCCCAAATCATCAACAAGATAAACAGATCACAGAGCAGGAAAAGATCAGAAAGCGCCATCAATAATCCCTATTTAATTTTAAAGGGCTTGGACATGATCGATCTACAAAGTCATGAAGCATAGGCTTGAGCTGTCAGATTCAAAGTCCTCTCCATACTTACTTGAAATATTAAACAAAACCATAAACTGACATTATATTGTCAAACAAGATCAAACACAAAATCATTACCAGAAGAAAGCCTAGATCCGAAGCCAAGATCAAACATTATATTATCAAAGCCACAAATGATTATGAAACTAAACCAGTATATACATATAGCTTCATTTCCGAAGCAACATAAAAGCACAAATTAACAGTAAAGAAACCTTAAAACCAAAAAAACACAAAACACCAGAAAGTTTCACACATACAAAATGATCTGCCGAACAAGCAAGAAACAAATCACGAGCAACAGAGTCGACCACTTAAGCTGAATCACGAAACAAAAAATAGAGTTGTGCACGATCAACAGTGACTAACTAGAAGCAAAATGCGAGCTGCGTACACCGAGCTGTCACGAACTGACCGGCTGAGATTTCAGATCGATCAGGCTAAGAGACGAAAGTCGTACACTGAGCTAAAGGAGAGACCGAACAGCAGAGATAGAGAGAGAGCTGGAGAGGATGGATGGTCGGAGACAGGGAAAGGCGAGAGAGGAGGGTCAGAGAGTCGGACGCTGATTAGGGCGAGAGAGAGGACTGAGGAGAGACGGTAAGACACAGACGAAAGTCACGAAAGGGAAAGGCGGAAAGCTGGTGCTGTCTGGCGTCCGTCTGCGTCTGCAATTGGAAATCTGGGCTTCATACCATGGGCTCTGGATTTGGACCGAAAGAAAATTAAAAAAAATAAATCCCCCAAAACGACGTCGTTTTGGGGATTTTTGTCTGAAAAATCATGACCCGGTTAACCCAGTCAACCTATCGGGTTATCCGGGTTACACCGGGTTGACCCCAGGTTGACCGGGTTACATCGGTTCACCCCCTCACCGGTTTAGGAGTAAACCCAGACCGGACAAGGGACTGGGTCACCGGTTTTCGGGTTGACCTGGCCGGTCCGGTCCGGTTTTCAATAGCATGCGTTTTATCTTTTTATAATGTGAGAATGTAAAAGTTGTTTGGTTTCTTAAATTTTTTTTCATAGTGCATTTAAATGGCACATTTTTTTGGTCATGCATCATTTAAAAGGTACATTGAAAAAGCTTTAAAGTCTATTTCTATTTAATTGAATTTTGGATAGCCTTCTAAAAGTGTTTTGCATGATTTTGCTACCAAACTAATTCTCTATGGTCTATTATTTTGGGACGGAGGTGTTCTTTGTCTAATTATCTTGACCAATGCCTAGTCAGTTTCTTTTATATGGGATATGTAATTTCAGATTAGCTATAAATAATCACATAATTATTTTATATATATTGGCCAAAAAATTTTATACATTGAATAGTATTTTTTGAGTTTAATATATTGAATGATATTGATGACACATGTTTATCAATTTTCTGCTTGGTATATTAAAAAAATAATTAGTCATATTAATTTTCAGATCAATTTATATTGATCAGTGTATCAAATTTTATATTTTTTATTCTTATCATTTAACATATCAAATAACAAAAATTATAAATCATAAAGTCAATTATATTTAAAAGTCAAACTTTCCACTTTAAAAAAATGTTTTAAAAAACAAATTAAAATCCTCGTATTTTGATGTCAACATTTTATCCATAACTTTACTAACTTAATTAAATTCAGAATTTGAGAAGGTTGTCGTACAAAATTGTTCACAACTTGAATTTTCGTATAAAAAAATATGCAAAATTTCCTGATATAATTTATACGCCTACAATCTGTCACTGTATTTACCAAGAAAATCTCACAAAACAAGAGGGAGAAAACAACGGTGTATGAAAAATAATAACCTTTTCTGGAAGTATTTTTTCTTGATAGTAAATAAATATATAAGCTATTTTCAGGGCAAAAAAAAAAAAAAGATTAGAAAAAAGCCCAACGAACTCTTTCGCTTTCGCATTTTGCCGCGTCTTTAAATGGCTTGTTTATGAATTCCATGTCGTCTTCTGATTTGCCCCCAAGTTCGCAGAATCCTCTCCAGTTTCCCCACCAACAACATTGATAATTCGCCGTCTCAGTTCATCATCTTGCGGAGCCTCGACGTTAAGTTAAAAGTCCTCTTCATAATCTTCTTCGGGTAAAGATTCATTTTCTTGCTTCTTCATTCTTCTTTGTTTTTTTCTCTGATTTCTTGATGTCCGTAACCCTCATTCCTATTTCCGCATCTTTGTTTGCTTGCAGATTCTATACTCGAGGGATTCTGGCATATTATATCACTTGCTGCAAAATCTTTGGACGTTTGCGAAGAATCAAGATGTCGATTCCGAACACAAGCAATGTCGAAATCAGGGAAGTCTGGGCCAACAATCTTCATCAAGAGATTGAATTGATCCAGAAGGTAGTAGAAAATTACCAGTATGTGGCTATGGATACTGAGTTTCCTGGTACTGTTCATGGGCGTTACATGGACACTAGTTACGAAACTCTGAAGAAGAATGTTAATGACCTGAAGTTGATTCAGCTGGGCCTCACATTTTCTGATGACCAAGGAAACCTTCCCACACTTGGAAATGGAAAGTACTGCGTGTGGCAATTCAACTTTCGTGAATTTGATCCCGCTAAAGACAAACAAAACCAACAATCAATTACACTCTTGGTTGAAAGTGGCATTGATTTCAAGAGGAACAGAGAAGAAGGTGTCGAGGCATCCGAATTTAGTAAGCTATTAACGCCCTCTGATGCAGTGCTAAACTGTGGTAAGCGTTGGATTGTATTCCACGGTTCATCTGACTTTGGTTACTTAGTCAAGGTGCTTACAGGCCGTCCTCTTCCAGATACAGAGTCTGATTTTATGAAGCTGGTCAAGGTATATTTCCCAAAATTTTATGATGTGGAATACATGATGAAATCCTGTGGCATTGTTCCCGGTGGTTTGAGGATGCTTGCTGAGATTTTGGATGTAAATAGAATTGGTAGTATTCATCAAGCTGGATCAGATAGTTTACTAACATGTCATACCTTCTTTAAACTGATAGAGGTTTATGATCTCAAGAACAAATTACAAGAGAAATTTGAAGGTGTTTTGTCTGGTCTAGGTCCTGGTGCAAACACATGTATTCCTCCAGAGGGAAAAAAGTGATGAAATCATCATTTATATTTGCTAGATTGCAGTTTTTTGCTTTTAATAATTCTCATGTTTTTGGTTTGCCTCCTCTATCTTGCGCTTGCTGTGAGATATGTTTATTTCTTTCTTAGCAAATATGATTTCGAAGTGTTTTTTTTGGGAGGGAAGATAAAGGAAAATTTCAAAGTTATAAAATATGAATCTCTTGCTTCTGGTAATAATCCTCTAGCTTTATCGAGAAACTTAATTAAAGTATATGAATCTATGTTGGTAGATACCCAGGTTTTGATCATTGTGTGTATCTTGTCTAGATGACTTTTGGGCACTATATTTTCTAAGTTTTTGTTTCATGGACGTTTTACAAATACAATTCCACAGGAGCAACATTTTCTTACCAAAGAATGCTGAATCTTTTAATTAATTGCTTTGATATTCCTTTTTTTTTTGGGTCAAAATTTTGATATTCCTTATTTAGTCCTTCACCAAAATGCAAAATCGAGCTGGCTAGCTTGTGGTTTTCAAATGATACAATAGATTGAAGATGCACATTGTTCCAGATAATTTTCACAACCTCTGGGATTCTTCACCAGTGCTGAGCTAAGTAATTAATGCGCATAAAATGATTTGTATTTCATATATTTAGTTTTCCTAGTTTCGCATAATCATTTTTTTACGTTGGCAAAAATAATATTTTTTAAGAAAAAAATTCTTGTGACAAAGGTTTACTTGGGGTCAATAATGAAATGGAAATTTTAAAAAGGGTTGCTCGCTCTAATTTTAAATGTATGGGTTAGTTTGAGGAATTTGTTTTGTTCTTAAATGTAAAGACATTTCTAGTTAAAAAAAGAGAGTAAGACTTCAACTTCCTTTCTCTCTTTATTTATTATTTGTTCTCTAAAATTATTCCTACTGATTACAAACAACAATCCATAGTAGTAACTTGCAATGAAATTATTAAAATGAAGGATATTTTAGAGAAATTAAGACACTTTTTTTTTTAACAAATGACTAACTTTACTAATTTTTTTAATCAATGTGAAATAATTATCTGGCTTCTACGTTTAGGATAAAAAGACATATTTATTATTAATTTTTCAGTGAGATATATACAGCGTTGAATCGGACAAGAGTAGTCTGACCTGTAATGAAAATTAAACTAGAATCCATTATCAAGGGTTTCGATTTAAAAAAAAAAAAAAGGCATGGTTTTTACATTTTCTATTACGATGCAAATGAGTAGAACAAGAATCGAAGCAATTTTCATGTAAATAATTTATCCCTATCTGTCCTAACCCAATTAAATAAAGAATTTGACAAGGTTCCCGTACAAAATTGTTCACAACTTGAATGTTCAATTAGCAGCAACATGAGTATGTTTTTAAGATTACTCAACAATAAAACAGTTCAATGCAATTTTAAAATACTCAAAATTATGTGAATTTGTCTAATATATAAATTTTACATCAATAGTCTATCACAATACTGCATTTAATTACATGAGTAAAGACGTAAATTTGGCCATTAATTAATTTTTTAGGAGAATTGGGTAGCTTGTATTATAAGTTGGTGCAAAATAAATTCTCAATTTTTAAATACAAAGTATCCAGCATCCTTCATTAATTTTTATTTGATGAAAGTTAACTTTTCATGTAGGGCCCACAAATTTTTGATTAAAATGACATGTTACACTCCACCTTAACAATAAAGGTGTAAATGTAACCATGAATTATTTTTCGAAGAACATTGGATAGCTTCTACTGTAAAAAAAATAAATTATCTAACATTTTTTTATTAATTTTGATCAAACACCATTTATTTTCAGACTTATGAGATCTCAATGCATCAATCTCTCCAATTTGTTTTCATTTTCTTCATTTTTAATCTTAACTCAAGAAAAGAATGTTCAAATAGTTATTATCTAAAAATATTCATGAGGACATAGCCAATGAAGGAGAAGAAGAGGAGGAGGAAGATAAGGTTTTATTTAAATTTTTGTGACGATTCAATTAAAGTAACTGCTTGAATTGCAATACTATTATGTGTGGGAGAAACTTGATTCAATCTTAATTTAACTTTGAATTATTTTTATAAAAAATAAAGTAATTGTATCAAGCTTGTCCCACAAGTAATAACATCACAATTCAAATAGCTAGTTCTCTTGAATTGCCACAAAGATTTAAATGAAATCATGTTTTCCTCCTTCTCTTCTACTTCGTTGGCTTTGTCCTAGTAAATATTTTAAAATAAGAACTCTTTGGGCTTCTTCTTTTCGAGCTGAGACTAAGAACAACGGCAAGAAGATTTGAGAGATTGATGCATTGCAAGTCTCATAAGTATGAAAATAAATGATATTTTATTAAAATTGATAGAAAGGTGCTGGATAGTTCATTTTTTATTGTAGAAGCTACCCAGTGCTTCTCAAAAAATAGTTCAAGACTAGATTTGTACTTTTATTTGTTAAGGTAAAATGCCACGTGTCATTTTTGCCAAAAATTTATGAGCCCCATATAGGAAGTTTATGTTCATTAAATAAAAATTAACATAAGCTGCTGGATGCTCTGTTTTTTAAAGTTAAAAATTTATTTCACACTACTTTGTAGTATAGTTACCCGGTGCTTTTGAAAAAAAAAAGTTGAAGGCCAAATTTACACATTTACCCTAATTATATTCATATGTTACTTCTAATACATTTTATTAGAATGAAGAAAATTTTTAAAACTCATTATCTAAATTTTTAAAACTCATTATTTTTTTTTAAATTTTAATAAGCTTTTAGTTATTCCTATTTAATACAGACACACTCTCCTGTCCTTATTATACAATGAGCCATAAAAGTAAAAACTTGTAATGAAAATGATTTTTTTTCTCTATATTATTCCCTTTGATTTTTATTATAAAATATTTTCAAATTTCAATTACTTAACTGAAACTAAGAAATGGCAGTTAATTTATTCAATATGTGTTAAAATAAAAAAATTAACTTTACTCCTATTGAAAAATAAAAAAAGAAAAAAAATATATATAATGAGCCATAAAATTAAATTAAAATGTGGATAAAATTTAAAAATAGTAATAAATAACTTTGCGTTAGGACCAAATAATTCTTCAAAAAATTTCTGTAATAAGAACAAAGTGAGTGCAAATAAGATTAGATAGAGTATTAACCAAGAAAATCTCACAAAACAAAGGGCAGCAAGAAAACGATGTATGAAAATTAATAGTATGAGTGTATAACCATTTTTCCTCCGAGTTACAAAGCTTTGTCTATATTCTCTGTATTATCAAGAGAAAAAAAAAGCCAAAAAAAAAAAAACAGAAGAAAGACTCTTTCGCATTTTGGCGCGCCAAAGAACGCATTTTGCTTATTTAAAGTCATAGGCTCATAGCCTTTCCTCTGCCTCTCTATCGATCCTCTCTGTGACTGTGAATTCCATTTTCAGTTTGCCCACTTGAATCATCAGATCATTCGCCGTCTCAGTTTAACCCATCACTTTTACGTTCATCATCTTGCGTTAAGTTAAAGTCTTGACAATCATCTTGAGGTAAAGATTCAATTTCTTGTTTGTTCTGTCCCTTCATCATCATAATCTTCCTCTCATTTCTTGAACCAATGGACAAACTCTCCCAGATACTGGTCATCCTTAGTCCTCTCTCGGCCTCTTTGTTTGTCTGCAGATTGTATCACTTGCCATAAAATCTTAAAAATGTCGATTCTGAACGCAAGCAATGTCGAAATCAGACAAGTCTGGGCCAACAACCTTGAGGACGAGATTAAATTGATTCGTGATGTAGTAGACGATTACCCTTATGTGGCCATGGATACTGAGTTTCCAGGTACTGTTACTGTTATTAGCAATGTGGATGACAAAGAGTCGAGCTACAAAGCTTTGAAGGAAAATGTTGATCTTTTGAAGTTGATTCAGCTCGGCCTCACATTTTCTGATGATCAAGGAAACCTTCCCACTGGTGGAACTCAAAAGTACAGTGTTTGGCAATTCAATTTTCGTGAATTTAATCTCACTAAAGACAGTTATAACTCAGAATCCATTGACTTCTTGATCGGAAGAGGCATTGATTTCAGGAGGAACAATGAAGAAGGTGTGGATGCAATCAAATTCAGTGAGTTATTAATGTCTTCTGGTGTTGTGCTAAACCCAGAAGTGCATTGGCTTGTATTCCATGGCTCATCTGATTTTGGTTATTTAATCAAGTTGCTTACCGGTAAAAGTCGTCTTCCAGATACAGAGCCTGAATTTTTGAAGGTGGTCGAGACATTTTTCCCAGTAATCTATGATGTCAAATGCATCATAAGATTCTGTTACAACCTTTATGGTGGTTTGGATAAGGTTGCAAAGACTTTGAACGTGGAGAGAGTTGGCGTTGGTCATCAGGCTGGCTCAGATAGCTTACTAACATGTTGTACATTCTTTAAACTAATACAGGTTTATAATCACCTCAGAGACTCACCTGAGAAATATGCAGGCTGTGTGTTTGGTCTCACTACTGGTCGATAGAAAACAAGTGATGAAACGGTTTCAAATAATAAAAATAAAAGAGAGAGTATTTGTTGCTAGATTGCAGTTTTCTGTTGATTCTCATTTTTTTGGGGTTCATCTCTCCTGTCTTGCTCTCATTGATCCTCCCTTGTGAATATTTAACTGTGTTAAAATATGTTTATTTCTTTCCCTGTGGCATTTTAGCTGTATTTCAAAGTGTTTGTGGGGAGGGAAAGTAAAGTGAATTTGAAGTTATAAAATATGAATCTGTGTCTTTTGGTTATGGTTCACCAACTTTACCAGGAAATTTTGGTGTTGTAATTTGGCTAGTGTACTCAGAATCCTTCTTGTTTGGGAGAACATTTCTCCTTGTGGCGTCCATGAATGGACTGAGTCATACATGTCTCTAAGTATTCACTTTGTTTTCGCCTTATGGAATTATGTGGGTCGATGCAAATCAATACCGCATCATTCTTTTTCGGGATGATGTTTAATTATTGTTATCATAGTTAGCTTTGTTTTCAAGTGAACTGAAAATCATGCTTGCAAGTTCGGGGGAAAATTATTTTCTTGTTTAGATGATTATTATTAAAAAGCGTTCAGTATAGCTATCCACTTTGTCTTCAAGTTTTGAATAAAGAAACAGGGAACATTTATTGAACTATACTGCTCCCCAATAAGCTTTGTTCTCATGGTGTAATAGATTAAATGTCAGTTGGTTTAAATATATATAAAAAAAAAGCATAATCTTTAATCTCCATAATTTCATCAAATTAAAAAATTTCCGTAATTTTTTTTACTGCTTTTAATCTTATCGAAACTAATGACACTAAAAAAACTGAAATTACAAGAACCTAAAAAAAACATCACCTAATTTTTCTAAAGTCATATGGACTAAAAGTACTGAAAAAAATTACGGAAACTAAAAAGCAAAGCCTGATAAAATATAGATTTCAATGATGGTGTTTTCCCAAATATATATACATAGAATGAATGTCTTAGATTTTAATGAGACAAACTGACATAGACAAAACACTTGCAGCTTGGAAGGAACCAGTTGATGGCCTATAAATAGAATACTTTTTGTACATTTTTTAAGTAATTTTGAGATAAAAATTAATCCAAGAGGATTAAATCAATCATTAGATGTTTACGCTCTGCATCCAACGTCTATCGAAAACAATGAACACACTCAAACCTGCCCACTGGTCAGCATCACCCAAGAAAACCCCCCCCCCCGGGGGGGGGGGAGGGGGGGTACGACTTGTTCGTTAAGTAGGGCTAAATATACCAACATCATATCTAACACAAAGTATCCTAATTCATCGAGTGATTCCGGCTTCAAGGCAGAACTTTCATTGCACATACATGAAACAAACAGAAAGAAGAAAAACAACAGTTCAGATAATAGAGATAAGACAGGCTTGTGAGGAAATTCTCATTTACTGAACCACCAAGAGGTAAAAAGTTCAGATCTTTTGTACTTCGGTGCAGAACACCACAAACATCTCGGCTGTGAATTCTGCGTATAAACATCATCAGCCCAGTCTGGCTTCTCTACGTAGCACCTGTATTATAGAAACCCACAAGCTCAAAAATATTAGATTACAGTGAATATTGTGTGTATATGAATGGGGAAATTCAAGTATAACGTGTGTCCATGCAATGGTCAGGATTTCACTTCAACAATTTGCAATCCAACATGTGGGTCTCATGTCAACAAATACGGTTCTAATCATTGGGAATATTGCATCATGAGGTGCTTGAGAATTTTCCTCCAGGAACAAAAGAGACCTTAAGCAAAATCAGTGGGATTGTACCTCTTCAGCAAACTTTATCAAGATAGTAGTGCGTGGTCGTTGTTGACCTTCCATGGGCACAAAATGAGCAGTAACAACAGCTGGAAATCCAGAGCCGTCCAAAACGCCCTTTGTTGAAAAGAACAGAACAGAATCAGGTCAATGACTGGATTTCGACCCTCCATTAGGCTCTAGCAATCAATTAGTCAATTGATGAATGAGGACACTTACTCGTACTATTCCAGCAACAAATGCCCCACAATTGAAAGTTCCCATGTCCTTTGGAATAGAAATGAATCTACAAAGCAGAGACAAAACTAGACCTTGCTATAAATTTATGTACGCAAAATCTGGTTATGTCCTTTGGAATAGACCTTGCTATAAAATTTATGTACGCAAAATCTGGTTATGTCTAATTTTCAATTAAAATGATGAGAGTGAAGACTCTTTTACCTGTTGACAAGGAGCTCCTTTTCACTGATCATGTATTCATCTTCATGTTCAGTGCCTTTCTCCAGTGAGTCCGCTACCTAATCCAACGGCAAATGCAAAAACTAAGGGGCCAGCTAAGCAGTTGAGTTGCTTAATATATGATGACTTAATCTAATCCATGCAAATACAAACATATGATGCAAACATAAAAGAAATGTAAATGAATCATAAGCTTCTGCCTTGCATTTTTAACAAAGTAATTATGAAGGGCAGTCATGATTACATATAAGTACACAACAGTATGATGTTTCAATATTTCGAATGTCTTTCCAGTCTCTTATACCTGATCTTTCAACAGATAATTGAGTGGCCAAAAGACACAAAGAAAAGAGCAAGGCCATATAGATGACGAAAACCTATGAAGCAGAGACACTTTATAAGAAGAAGCAATAGTGTCAATGAGTTAATACTTCCTATAGAAACATGACAGTTTGATGGATGACAATTACTTAATGTAAAACTCAACTGCATGCGCCCACAACTGCAATAACCATAGCATAGCAACGACAATTGGCATTTTGTGTCTATGAAAATGAACTGCTTTCTCTTGGGGTGAAGAACGGGGAAGAAAAAGTTAAAAAGGATAGAGGAACTCACCTTTCCAAATAATACCTTCCACACTGTGCTGTGCACAAAAGACAGAATACCTAATAGTCTTGTCTCCCTTCTGTTTCCCTACAGAATCAGAAAAGTATCATTACGTCAGTCATTCATGCAATGCAAAGGCACAGACACATTCCAGCTGGTGCGCCATGCCCAAACCAAAACCAACATAAGGTGTCAATTTTTTATCATACAACGGTTAATCAAAAGATCCAATATGCATCCACATCATTAAAACACAATTTATATTAGAAGCAAAGCAACGTTCACAAGACTATGACTCCGCAAGTATCCTATCATTTTAGGAGGACAAAGTTAATGAGCCTAAGGGATAGAGAAGTCTCATAATGGAGAAGAAAATATCATTAGGGAAGGTACCTCTAACAGGCTAGAGATTCAGCAGGAAAATTACCATGTTGAAGATTTCAACGCCAAAATGTTGATAGGCATTTATCATAAAATTTAACTAGGTTCATAGTCGTTAAACATAATCAAAGACAATCCCAGGTTTCGTTATAATTAAGAAACTCACCAACATAAAGTTATTGATTGATTTTAACCCATGTTTTATGCCATTTGGTACTAGATTAGAAAATGAAACATCAGGACAAATCTATCTTGAGACTAATGGTCACCAGAATTATCAAAATTCACTTTCATACCAAATTCCTTTTCCTTTTTCCTTGCACAATCAAATTCATTAGAAAATCATCATTAAGCTGGATCCCTTGCATATCCAAGGGTGTAACTGCAATTCCTTGCATTTTAAAAAGTGATGAGGCTTTAAATGAACAGTTTTATTATTTTCTATAGCAGGTATATGACAATAAAACCAAATAGACCATAATGCATGTTAAATCAACCAGAAAAATGGACCATCAGACAACCACATTTCTGGTTTATCCTACTGTCTGCATATTGTGTTCTAGTCCACTTCACCAGGTACTTGAATCATCACTGCACTACATTTAGATGAATAATGAAACTTTATTGAAGAGTTCCCAAGAGCCATCATACCTTTTCTCTGTGGCAAAGCAGTTCCAAAACTCGCGCCCCAACAGCATATCCAGCATCCTCCAGTCTGATAGTGATGTTCAAAATAAATTACATGACATTAGAGTCAATTGTGATATCACATCAAGTCATCAAGTGTCTCGTTAAAAGCCTGATTCAATCTTATGTTTCGTACAGTTTTTTTTCTATTCATACTCCATAAATTGCAAATAAAGTAAAGGACGATGATCATAATAATGACATACAACGTATAACATTGCATTAATCATTTACTAGGGCTAAAACCAGGGAAGAGACAATTCTCATCAGTGGAGTGACATACTCTGCGCAACCATGAGACAAAGTAAATTTAGTGATTCCAACTTAGAATCATATAGGAAAAATTAACAAAAACAAATTTTTTCACACTGCTTTATCTTCAACGATCCCGTCCGACTGGACAACTAAAGAATGTGCCATAAAAGAGCAATCACCTTCGTTCTAACTCAGCAATATTGTCGACCTGAGTTTGGTTGTACTGTACAAGCTCTGAGAACAAGAACGCAAATGCACTCAAACTAACCTGCACCACCATCAAATCTACATATGATTACAAAAAATAAAATACCAATAAAATTATACAGGCAACTATACATATTTCGAGTTCAGCAAAATCAATCGAGGCTCAATTTCCCTCTTTCCAGGATACCAGACAGGTTGAACAGGAGCAGAATGCCCCGAAGAGTGAGATCTCAATAAAGCAAGCTGGGGAGAAAAAGGTTCTTATTCTACATGCCAAACAAGTTGCGTCGATTCAACCAATATATTCTCCAGACAATTTAAAGGGCAGGAAGAGAACAAAAAAGAAAAGAAGAGAAAGCAAGTAGATTGAAGAAGAAGAGGAACCTCTTGCTTGCCCTTGTTGAGGGGCCTTTCGAGGACGTTACTATACTGCTTGATCTTTCCAGCTCCGATCATCGTCAGAAATATTGCCTCTCACTGGAGCGAGTAAGTTGTAATCCCAACTCACTCAGTATAGCATATACGGAAATGTTGGAGCGGATCCAGATACTAAGTAAATCACGAAATGCAGATAATTAATCAGGCGGCTGCAGTTGATAACATATCAGCAGTCCTAACCGGACCAGTATCACACCGGAGAACGACCACGTGGGCAGACAACGGTCGACGGCGTCCGACGGCGAGCTAGACGAAGTGGGGAATGCTTGTCCGTCGACGAAGAAAAATGGATCTGCTTCTTCCACCAGACGAGATTGCGTTTTGTTGGGCTTGTAATTAGTTTTAATAATTCTGGCAAGAAAAAGAGTTTTATTAATTCGTTTTATTATTTATTTTCTATAAGGACATTATCGTCTTTCACTATTTTCGGGCTGCTTTTCCATGGACGTACAACCCTTTCATCCCAAATGCAGCCTATCGCTATGTACCTTCTATTGTATGATCTGTGATTCTGTGTACTATTTTTTGATGATAAAAAAAGGATTGTAAATTATTAATGTCTTATACAATACTTTCATCCAGGATACCTTTGAGAAATAATTTTTGATATAAAATATAAATATTTTATAATAATTAAATTGCTTTTTTAAAATTTTATTTTTTTTATTAGTGTGAAGATATTTAATATAATTGTACCATTGTTTAATGTCAAATTTACCTGAAAAGTATATATTATTTTTTATGATATAAAAAAAGCTAACTTTTATTAAAATACATGAAATAATTAAAAGTGTCTTATAATAAAATTAGAGTAAGTACTCTCACCGGTCTAAATATAAACATTTTTTAAAAAAACCTGTATATCAATAAAGTCCTCGATCTTACAAAAATATATATTGTTTTTTTAACATCTACTCCCAATTATCAATGCATTTCCTAATTAGTGAGAGATACATTTATATGAAGATCTAGATTAATAAATACAAAAGGTAAAATAAAAAAAATTATATATGTTAGATCACCTATATTTTGAACCAAAATTAATTGAAAAAAAACGCTTATATTTTGAATTGGAATGAATATTGCATTTAGGGAGAAGCTGAAATTGGGGGGAAATTGGGAAGACAGGACCCAATTGTTTAGATTTCAATATGGATTCTCTTAAATTTAAATCAAATTAAAATAATAAAAAATGCTCCAAAGATAATAAAAAAACAAAACATTGGATGTGACAAATGAATTTTTTTTATAGAAAAAATTACATTAAAATCTCACAAAAAAATTAATTATTATAAAATTCATTGATAATTAATATAAAGTCACTTATAATAAACTTTATAATAATTAATTTTTTTATATAAGGCCTGTATATAATTTTTCCTTTGGTTTGAATTACAACTCAATTTGAAGAAGATTGAGTGTAATTTGTATAAATTTACAAAACACTTGCAGTTCAAAGGCATACAAATGACATTAATTTGCATATACTTTACCATTAATTTATAATAAAATCATTTTTATACATAAAAATAAATAAATTAAAGCGTAATGCTATGATCATAATCAAGGAGAAACAACACATGTATAACTGTACCTCAACAGCATAGAGACTCTATTTCTCTTTTGTGGTCATCCTTCTGCTTTACTTGTATCAACTTAAAAAGTTATGGATAGATTGTACACGTAAAAGATCTAAAATGGAAAATGAGATACATACGATTCATAAATCATATAAGCTAAATTATGTTTAAAGAGACATAGGTAGACATCATGCATTCTTTTGAGAGTGAATCTCCGCTTACAGCAAAAATGAAGCACCATGTCATTAGTGAATCAAGTAAAATCCTATTGGCCAATGAGGGGAAATTAAGAATACAAGGAAATGAAAAGAAACATCCTCCTGAATTTCTGGTTCTTAGATTTTCTACCAAATGATGAAAAAAGAAACAGGCCACATCTTGATAGGTGGTAGTATTTGATGTGAGGCATTTTTGTTAAACTAATAAAATTAGTCTGAACCCTTCCAACCAGTTAGGAATTAAGATAAGCATATCTCATATCAAAGGAAAAGAAAATATTGAAGCAAGAGTTCTAAATTGTACTATTATGAGAGAGTAATTCACTAGCTCACAACTTCCACTTCATCTCTCTTGTTATCAGTACTGTCTTCCTCATTGACAAATCGCAGATCTGGATAATTTCTATGGTTCAGCGAATGCAACCAAAGAGCAACAGCTCCATCGTTCTTCTCTGTGGAAGCAATATGAGAATATATATACTTCATCTTGAAATCTCCAGCTTCTTTCTCATATGCTTTCATTGACAACTCTTCGTGACTATCATTCCATTTCTGGTTATATGATGCAAAGAAGCACTCATCCAAGTATAAACCAACCTCTGGGGCAGTAGGCACATTAATGTTAACATCCCTGCAGTTAAAAAGATGAAATCGAATGTGAACTCATATTGTCCATCAATTTGAAAAGTTAATAAAAACTACAGGAGCTTTCTGTACTTACTTCTGCAAAGCTTTTTCAATAAGTGACTCTGGCGCGCAATTTCTCATGATTGCTACAGCAAGACCCATCATCTTCCGTATCTGATGAAGCATGAAGCTCTGTCCCACAACCTCACACTTCACAAATTCAATGCCCTCAACTGTGACAGTGGTGTTAGCATCAAATGAAATTATGAAACGCCTAGCAGCAGGGTCCTCAGCTTTTGTTCTTGTGGTGAAGTTATGAAAATTATGGGTCCCTCCATAATATTTCAAAATTCTATTAAACCTCTCCCTCTCCTTCTGACCATAACAGAATCCACTTCCCTTTATAGTCTTCTCCTCTTCATTAACATTTTCTTTCCCAACAATGCTTGAATCATCCACTGATCCACCATTCGTTTGAGTACTTTCGTGATGGGCAGGAGCCACAGACTTGAGGTCAAGTTCAGAATTCAAATCCTCCACTGAATTTTTTTCTTCATTACTGGATTTCTTATTTAAATTATCACCATCAGTTTTGTTCAAAGAAACCCCAAAATCCTCTGTCACTCCAGAGTTAGGAGCAGGATCTCCTTTGGATGAACTGCAAACATCCATAGCTTCTAATCCTGTACTGTGCTTACCAACTAAGCCAGGCACCTTCCGACCTCTCTCAGAACAATCCAAACATTTAACAAGTTCATTTTCAGACCCCACACTAGCCAACACACTCTCTCTATCGCGATGTGAACATGGATCAAGAGCAAACACAGGAATGAGATAGACATACCTCCTCCGATCACAGAACTTCTTGGCATTAAAAGATGCTGTGACCCGCTTGTAACCAAAGATCCGTATCTGAGGAGAAAGGTTTGAATTAAGGCGGACAACAAGACCAGGTGGATCAATATAAAAACGTCCTGAGACAACCTGACCAACAGCACTAACACCTTTATCAGTTCGGGCAGAGCGAGCCCAGTCATACCTTTTAGGATTTCCACGATCCTGTTCAGGGACAGCTCCAGACACAAATAAGGCTTCTTCAAGGTCACCTTCAATGGTCTTTGCACCAGGATTTTTCTGCATGCCTTGATAGCCAACACCACAGTAAGCAAAGAAAATGGCAATTTTGCGGCGCTTGTATCTTTTCTTGGTGCCCATTGCAGTTGTGCATTCTTCATCATCAGAAGTGGTGGTAGACATTTTAAGTTTTTTTAACTCAGGTTCTTCTCTGACAACTGGCGGCGGCGGTGCAGGTGGTGGTGAGCTCGTCACTTTCACATCTGAGTTTTCCATTTTTAAGAAGTGATAAGAATACGGCTTGTATAGGATAATGGTAAAAAATCCGGACTTTTCAACAACCTGGAATGAGATTCAGATTTAGAGGTCACTGGCCCGGCCACCAGATCAATCTATGGCCAACCCAATGATATCTACATGATGCCACAACTAATCACTAATTTTAAATATCACACACACACACATATATTAAGAAACTTGCACTAGGTTGAAAATTCATGCTTTAAAAAAAAAAAAGAAGTAAAGATATCTTTAAACACAATTTCTTTCAGCTTTTAACAAACAAATCATCAGAACTTGGAAGAACTTAGAAAATGTTTTCAAAATGGATACGCATGTCGCTTCTGATCGGAGCAGTCCAACAAATCAATCAAAAGAGTTGAGCTAAACGCAGAAATACAAATAGGCACAAAGGTTATCCGACAAGGTCAGTAGCAAGCTATAATGGCCATTGACAATATTACTTCAAGAATACAAGCAAACACCGATTAAGCATATCAGCAGAGAACAAACAGCCAGTAATTACATATACGGATCAAAATCCTCTAAGGTTAGATGTCTAAAGTCCCGCGAATTTAAGAAAATACTAACCGTTGATTAAATCAGGTGGCATAAACTTGTTAATAAAAAATTGAGAGTACCTTTTTTATGGGCTAACAATTAATATTGCATTGAAACCACTCAACAACTCAAGCAAAGTACCATTTCTTTTATTAGATGACCCAATCACAAAAGTTTGTTTAATCAACGGCTAATATGATATCAAATTCACAGAACTTTAGACAGCTAAATTCAGAGAATTTTTATCCTACACATATAACTCACTGGTATAAAGAATTGATTAGAGAGAGAAAGATTATAACAGTTTGCCTCAGCTGTTATATAATTTCTAAGACAGTTGAGAAAGGTGGAAAGACTTGAGCAATTGATTTGAAATCGAAACCACACGAGAGATCCCGAAACTTTTCGATTAAAATAGAGCTGGGTAAGATCCATCAATTGCTTGCCACATTCATACCATGAACAATGGTCCGGGAAAATGCTATTTGAGTATTTCCAAACTCATAAAGTAAAATGAAAGTTGAGAGAGTCTGGAATCTGCTATGTCAAATTATGAAACTCATATACAACTGATGGAAGGGAAACTGTGTGCAAGTCTTACCAGGAAGAGGAAGGAACAAGAGATGCTTTGATAAGAGTGTCCGCCCAACTCTAAGTACTGCTGCTTGCTACTACGAAGGAGCCAAAGGGGAGAGGGAGGGACGGAGGCAAAGACACTTAAACCCTCACACCCTCACTTTTCAGGTTCTCCGTTTGCGGAAGGAAGGCGATGGTTAGGAAGAGCAAGGACTTCGAACAAAGCACTCCATTTCTCAGTGAGCACCACCCCACGTCCTGCGCTTCCACTGTCTCTTTAATTTGGGCCTAAAATCTGCAGAAATATCCACAATACAGTTATTCCAATTGGGCTGTCTGTGGTTTTTGGGCGGTTTTTTAAGCCGAGAAAGGTTTATTATTATTATTATTATTATAGATAATATAGTTTGTACTCCTTAACTTAACATTTTTTTTAAAAATTAAATATTAAAAAATATAAGATATTTTTTGAAAAGTTAAATATTAAAAAATATAAATTATTTTTAATTTTTAAAATGTAATCATTACTTTTTTTAAAAAGTGTCTATTGATTAATAACTTTATATTTCTTATAAAGTATTTAATAGGAATAAATATAAAAAAATAGGGTTAATTTAAAAATAGGTTGCTACTTTATTCGGGGTGAGATTCAATTAAAAACATGTTATATTTTTTAACAGAGAGTAGTCTTTATATTTTTTAAAATATAGATTTAATCATTAAATTTTGACTTCACATAATTCAATTTTTGTGATTTATTGAATTAAGAGATTATAGTTTTTAGGTAATATTTAAAAAATATTTTTAAAATTATTCTTTATAAGAGAGAAAAGTAACATGATATTACTTTTTAAATTTGTCATATAGAGGTTTATTTGAAATTCTACACATTTTTATTTTTTTGCTTTTTTTGTATTGGATATTAATAATATTAATAAAAATAACTTATAAAGAGAATTAACGGATTATAATCAAATTCTGTAAAATGGCCCCATGGAAGATGACCACCCATTTCAAAGAACCTGGCGGCCCCAATTCTCAAATAGCTTGCCATTTCATTTCTCCTCCAATGGATGAATATAAATACATCTCCACTCCTCAACCCAAATTGTTTGAATCAACAATTTTTTAGGACCCATTTGTTTTAAATTTTTAAATAAAAAATCACTTAATTTTTTAGCAAATTTCTTATGCTTATGAGAAGTTATTTAAAATTACCGTTTCAAAATAATCAGATGGGATAGAAATAAAAGGTTGAGACACATGAAAATATAACATCTAAAAATTATTAAACCAATTTTTTTTTTAATTGTTGCCAAATGCAAAATATTTTTTGTGTTTACAATGTCTCAGATGAACCTAGTTATTCATAACTAATTTATATGATAAACGATATAGTGCATGGAGTATTTAGGGGGGGGAACTGCTCAAGCAATGACAAGCTTTAAAAATCATTTAAATTTAAATTAAATATTTTTAATTTGGGAACTTGATGCAACCACCTACGTTTTGGAGCTAAATTTGTGCACCATCAGTTGTTCTAACTAATATTCTTGCTAACTGCTAAGAGAGTAGCTGACATAAATTAGCCAACATAAACCAACCCGATAATCACATTCTAAAATCTTGCTAACCAAAACTTCATTATCTACTACCACTTTGCATGTGACATCTCTACATTCTTTCCAAATCCATATAGTTAACCTCATTTAATGAAATAAGACTCGTGGATGTTATTTTGAAGTGTTGTTTAGAAAAGAATGTAGAGAGATAGTATGGAAAGTAATAGTATAGAATCAAGGTCCACAAGTGTATGGAACATAAATCGGATCCATATTAATGCATTTATGTATTTTAAAGGATAACATAAGAAAATATGATTGTACATTCCATATCTTAAAATTACTGTCTGACCTTTCTCTGATGCTTGATCTTTCCGCTACACCTAGCAAACAACCTATGAACCTAACAAAACCAGTAGTTTACGGATGTTAAGAATTCTCAAAAGTTTATGAACCAAGACAATTATGAACAGGCAGGTAAGCATGTCATAGATGGCCTGATTGAAAAGTGTTTCCTGATATGCTGACACGTGTCTATCTATAACTACTTTGATCTGCAATTTTTTTAAAAAAATATACATAATATTGAAGAATTTCTTAGCTCGGTTAGCCTTGAATTTATAGCCCACCGTTCACCAAAACAATAAAAGAATACAATTTATAGCCCACCGTTCCAGTAGATGAGTCACACCTCTCTCACAGCAAATTAACCAGCAAAACCTTGAGATCCTGGAAAAGAAATATCATTCATGAGTTGAGTAATTCACAAAAAAGAGGAGAGAATATAAGTTACCAAATGATGTGTAGAAAATAGTTTCCAGATTTTTCAATTGGAGGAAGCTATGCTAACATCCACTCTTTAACGTTAAACTAACTTCCAGATCTATGAGGAACATAAATCAATCCTAGCATAGATCCTATAGAAGATGATAAAGAAAATTCTATAGAAAAATATAAGCTTCATCAAAAGCATTTTGAACAACAATCTGCTCACAGTATTGTTCATCAATGAATTCACATAAAGGGTCAAAAATAGTCTTACAGTTTCCTTGACCAGATCATCATCCCAGTCTTATTGCTAGCCACCAAAAACTGCAATCCCATGTCTTGGCTGCCTTCTTGATCTTCACGAACCAAAAAAAAAAAAGTGAACACGGAAGGTAAAATATATCCATTGAGTTATCAGATGACAACATTTCAATTAAACAGTATATCTCTGCAAAAAAAAAGCCAATCAAATGGAACATACAAGTCTAAAGGCAAAAGATGCATGTCCATAAATACAATAGATTTGTTTCAATACAGTTACTGAGAAGCATTTCTATTTGTATAAAATAAGTTACAGTAATACATTCAAAATGGCCACAAACATCAGATCATAGTCAGTGCTTCATGTCCTTAATCATGGCAAGACCATATCAGTTCATGCTAGAAAAGCCATGTAGCCAGACAAATCAACACGTAAGTAAATGAGTAAAAAATTTATAATTCACAAAAGCAATGGTTTCTAAGCATTGATACAACATTTAGACGGCATTAACTTGCTATTGATTGCATCAATTACCACATTCAAATATCAAGAATTTTAAACCCTTTTCCACGCCATACAAAAGAATCAAAATGAGGTCTTTCCATGTTTCTGAAAAGTCAAAACCATAGATAGATAAGACGGTTCAACAAGTCTTTTTATTTTTCTATTCACCAAGGAAAAAAAAAACAGCTATGGAGTTCAACTTCTATGAAATGAACCCATGGTGCATTTGCAAAGAAGAAGAAAAAGAAGAAGCAATTATCAACTGAGTAAAGAAGAAAGAGGAACCGCCTCACTTAACAGGATAACTTCAGATATATATCAAGGAACAAGAATTCATTCTATATCATAAATAGAATCATCTCATCTTCAAAGATTGTACTTCTAAGGTCATTAAAACAGAATCCAAATTATTTGATTGATTTAAGAAAAGTTGAGAGTCAAAGAATGGGAACTCATAAATAATACCTTCCAAATCATCAATAGTGACAGGCAATGGATCTAAACAAGGTCGATATCCTTCATCTTTCATCAATTTGGTCAAAAACCGTAACTCTGATCGTATCTCATCTATCTGTGGATGCATCTGGTCTCCGACAACAAAAACATGAACTAAACTCTTTAACTCACTCCAGCTACAACCAGGTTCTTTAGTCACCCCTCGGACTTTCATCATCCTTCTTACACGCTCTACATCTTCCCACTTGCCCAAGGCTGTATAAATACTAGATAACAAAACATAAGTGGATGATTCTGGTGAGCCTAGCTCAATCAGTTTTTCTCCAGCATAGGCACCAAGATCATAGTTACGATAGTTCCTACAGGCCCCTAATAATATGCGCCACAAACACAAACCATGATCAATTTTTGCTGATTCAATGAACTCTCTTGCTTCATTCAGTTTACCAGCACGGCTCAAGATATCAACCATGCATGCATAATGCTCTACTGTGGGAACAATGCTGAACTCATCAAACATCATCTTGAAATAATCCCAACCTCGCTCCACAAGTCCCATATGACTGCAAGCAGAGAGAAGATTTACAAACGTGACATGGTCTGGTTTTGTGCCCTCCAAACGCATCTCCTCAAACAACTCCAAGGCTTCATTGCCATAACCATTTTGAGAAAGACCGGATATCATTGCATTCCATGAAATTACATCTCTGGAAGGCATCCTACAAAAAACACGATACCCTTCATCCATATTTCCACATTTTGCATACATGGCAGAAAGTGCACTTCCAATTGGGATTTCCAAGCTGAAACCGTACTTTACAATCCGCGCGTGGATTTGCATTCCTTGATCTGAAGCAGCTAGGCTAGAGCAGGCTTTTAGGACACTTGCCATGGTAAGCTCATTGGGAATAATTCCTTTCATCTGCATTTTGCAATACAGATTTAAAGCACCTTCACTATCCCCATTCTGTGCGTACCCTGTTATGATAGAAGTCCAAAGAACAATGTCAGGTTGCCGTAGATAATCAAAGCCCTTGCGAGCATCAGCAATGCTGCCACATTTTGCATACATGTCCACTAAAGCTGTCAAAACGTACATGTGTGATTCATAACCTAACCTCAACGCATAACTATGCATCTGCTTTCCTTCTATAAGAGTACCAAGGTCACTGCAAGCGTTGATAACCCCGACAAGAGTAAATTCACTGGGCACGACTGCAGAGAGATGCATACTGTGAAACAACTTCAACGCCTTACCTGAATCCCCACTTTGTGCATAACCAGTAATCATTGCCGACCATGTGATTGAATTTTTACCCCCAGATAAGTAAAATGTCTTAAATGCATCATCCAAGCTCCCACATTTAGCATACATCGTTACAAGAGCATTTTCCACAGAGGTAATTGACAACAGCCCATTTTTAGCAGCGAGAGAATGAATCTGCTTACCAGTGTCTACAAGTTCAGGAATTGTCAGAGCACTTAGAACACTAGTAAACACGAACTCGTTCTCACCCTCAGTCTCACGACGCATGGATTCAAAAATCTCCAGAGCCTCTCCAGCCATCTCTTGAGTAGCATACCCAGAAATCATTGTAGCCCAAGAAACAGGATTCCTTTCAGGCATTCTATCAAACAACTTACGGGCTTCATCAACAAACCCCGTTTTGCAATACATATTAAGAAGC